AACTCTTTCTCTTCACCTTAGGTTGCCTCCCAAGAAGCGCTAAGTTTAAAGTCTTTTGCCGGACTTCCAACATACTGTGGTCACTTGGGAGGTTTTGGCTCAATCGCCTCCTTGTGCTGAACATGAAGTTTCTTCAAATCTCTTTGCCATCTAATCAACCCATTTCGTATTCTTTTCTTTTTATGCGCATGAGTAGATTTCAAAAGTAATTTTAAGCGCTCTTCAATACGTGGATTAGATGGAGGAGGCACATATTCAGGATTAGGTAGCCTTTTCACTTGAGTAGAAAGGATGGCATTGAACATGTGATTGGTACTTGGAACATGGATGTTCAGCTTGTCTTCCTCAATAACACATGGAATTGTGGCACTTTCTGGATCTTGTAAATTGGGAGTAAGCTTCCTTTGCAAAACAGCAGAAACCTCTTCTGTTAATGCAACAGTTTCGCATTCCTTGAACTTGTTTGCATCCAAGAGATGAATGTTGACTTGCACCTTCTTGAAAGTTTCCAATATGTCCTTGGCATGTTGAATTTTTTTAGAACCCATCAACCTGTGAGGAAAAGGAGCACGTGAGATATCTTCATCAGTAGGTTCACGACATACCTTCTCCCTTCTTGCCCTTCTTGCAAGTTCATGCTTTGGGATCCACTCAAGTGAAGATGCTGCTTGTTTATCTTCCCCCTTGTTGATTTCATCCTTTTCCTTAGGCCCAATCACTTGCTCAACCTGCATCTCATCATTATTTTGAATTAGACTTTCAGAACTATTAACCTCACAAATTACCTTACCAGTTCTCAAGATAATTGCTTGAACATGCTCATGCCCGGTTGGATTAATCACTGTTTGGCTTGGCATCATCCTGGATTCCCTTTGACTCAAAGCTGTAGCAATTTGCCCCACATGATTTTCTAGATTGGCTATGGCATTATCTCTCTTCTGCATGATTTTCCTTTCTTGCCCTTCTTGCAATTTCATGCTTTGGGATCCACTCAGGTGGAGATGCTGCTTGTGTATTTTCCTCCATGTTGATCGCATCTTTTTCCTTAGGCCTAATCACTTGCTCAAACTGTATCTCATCATTATTTTGAATTAGACTTTCAGAACTATTAACCTCACAAATTACCTTACCAGTTCTCAAGATAATTGCTTGAACATGCTCATGCCCGGTTGGATTAATCACTGTTTGGCTTGGCATCATCCTGGATTCCCTTTGACTCAAAGCTGTAGCAATTTGCCCCACATGATTTTCTAGATTGGCTATGGCATTATCTCTCTTCTGCATGTGGGCGTCATTCCTCTGTATGTAGCTTTTTGTCTCATTGATGAAACTATCTGTGTTTCTAGCCATTGAAGCAACAAGTTCTTCCAA